TAAAATTGGTATACTCTTTAGAGACAACATATCACTTTATTGATAAAAGAATCAATCTGTTATTAATTATTGCGATTCATTATGAAAGCGGTTAAATTATGTTCGGAAGAAGATAAAGCACAGATATATGAAAGTATACCGGTTCACGTAATTAAACCAAATTTTCGGCCAAGTCAGCACATTAATCAAGCGAATTTCGCCGCCATCTGTGACCCTAGTAGATGTCATACATGAATATGGTTTACGCACGGCAGGTGGTCGCGCGGCTACCCTTTATCAGGAATTTATTTCTGTATAATTCTCCAGTGTGTGTCTATATATCACTTTAAAGAAAATTTAAGTTTTTAATCCTTTTTCTTATTATTTTAAAAGAATTCCAATTTAAAATCTTAATAAATTTCTGTAATCTTAATAAAATTCAACGATTCATATATAATGCATTTTAGAAATATATATTTTAGTAAATTATATAATATAAATATTGTATATATAAATATATTTTAATAAATAGTATGAGTACTTTACGTCTCCAATAAAATGTAGGTAATATCGAAATTTTGAAAAAAAATTGTTACAGTAAGATTTGGAATGTTCATCGACAATGAGAAAAGGGTGAAAAAATCTTTCGGAAAAGGAAGCATCGACAATAGTTTAAAACTGTTTGGAAAGTTGAAGAGGAAGAGGGAGGAGGAGACGCGAGTTGCGAAAAGACAGCCGAAGCGGCGAATCGTGAACATCAAACGAATTAAATCTCTGCGGAGAACCGACCGCAGAAACTAATATCTCGACGCTTCTTCCGTCCGTCCATCCGTCCGTTCGTTTACCGTTTCATCGTCGTGTCTCAACATCTTTGTCGTGCAAAATTCTCATTCGCTTTGTCTTCGATTTCATTTGTCAATGTGTTCTCGAATCGCTGGTTTTAGAAACTATAAATAATTGTTAGGCTCGAAGAGAATGATGGATGTAAATGAGAATTGCAATGAGATTGAAAGATATGTAATTAATTAAATTAATCTACCACGAATAATATGAAATTGCAATACAGAAAAAATTAAAATTAATAGGTTAATAGAAAATTAAAATTAATATATTGATACAACATTGTAATTATTGTATGAAAAATGAGGCATATTTTTATATTATGTAATCATAAAATTTTCATCTTTTTAACAGTTTTTTTTCCATTTTTCTATATGTGAATTATACGTTGCACTTACAGTGCGTGTAATCGAATCAATACACCTTTTGCGAAAGACTCTCTCTTTCGTGACAAAGTGCTTGATAGTCTCCTCTTTAATTATTTTCTTGACGTCTATAGATCGGCAATTAATTTTCTTCCGTATGTGCGCGCTATGGCTATCAATATTTCTATCTATGTAATATTGATTTCAGTTGTAAACATAACTAAATTAATATATCGGCAAATAGAATATTTCCTAGACATTCAGCGTATATTTAATCTATATTGCACATAGAACTAATTAAATTTTTATTTTTTTTTTAGAATTACTACGTGCCTTCGTCAATTTAATCAGACATTTTCAATATAAACGCAATTAAAAATATGCTAACAGAAAATTATAGATATAATATAATCAATAATTAATGTTCATAATTTTTTTAACAAGTCTCAAGAGTCTGAGGTATTTAGACTAACGGTTAACTCTAAACGTAGACGTTAGTTATTGGAAAAGCGGGACATGTTGTGGATTGAACGAAACAAGTGTTACTCTGTATTTTTGGATCGCGTTTAAGCACCAAGCGCGGTTGTATCCTCTTCTTCAATTAGCGTAATAAAATGATTAAGATGGTAAGAATGCCAACACCATTCTTTCAAATAAGATGGACTGTCCCCTCGAAAACGAGAAGTCCGGTCACCTTATATGTGCATGACATCGTTCGTGTCGGTCAGTGAAAATTTTTTAAGCGAACTGTACGGTCGGGTTGTGCAGGTGTGACCGATGGCGGCGGCCTTTGATCCTGGAGCGACTCCTCGGCTACTTTGTCCACGACTCATCGCCCCCCCCTTCTCTCTCTCTCTCTCTCTCTCTCTCTCTCTCTCTCTCTCTCTCTCTCTTTCTCTCATCATTCGATTCGATTATTTCTTAATGGCTAACGCCATTGCGAAAATGATCGTTGCGTATATTTCTTGGTAAACATTAAAAATAAAAAATACACAGGGTCGCTCCGATTATTGGATAACGACGTTAATTGATACTACTTTCTTCATTCCGAGAGTCAGCGCGAGCATAATAAAAATTATAAAACGGAAACCAGTATTACGCGGTATCATCTGCTAATAAGATACGATGAACGATAATTATTTTAGACTATTTCGCGAGGAAGCGATTATAAAACCAATAGAATTGATATAACAATTTTTATGTCGAGCTTTACACACCGCTGGAATAGTTTTCCACGATCTAATCTAATATAAAGAGATCACCTATAGATAATTAGCAGATATTAAAATAAATTATTCACAAGCTTTAATCTCGACAGATAATGCTAGAACGTTTATTCGAAAAATTAGGTTGCAATGTTCGCTTTTACGTTATTATAAATTGTGTAGCCAATTAAATTATTCAATCATTCGTGCCTTATCTGTCGAATATTATTTTATGAAATAATATTCGATAAGATAAGGCACGAATGATTGAATGATTTAATTGGCTACACAATTAATTTATAATAACAAACAGATTTTTAAGAAAATTGCCGCGCTTGATACAACGGAAACTTTTAAAAAACTTATTAAAGTGGCACTTTTCCAAAAAATATTTTAATATAAAAAATTTATAATATAAAAAATACGCATGCATTAACATCCTTGTGATTTGAGATATTTCGATAATTCAGAATAAATTGCTCAATTATTTATTTGAAGTTTGAATTTTTGGTCTAGATATGTTAGCTAGAGAATACATCAACTAACAGAATGCATCATATCCTATTTAAAAGTAGATGTTGCGTGTACAGTAATATCACAAAATGAGATTATTTATATCCGTACACATCTAATCTGATAAAACTACAAATCGCTTTGTGGCTAAAGGCGAACGTCTGGTAGAAACATTTTGAACTACAGCCTTAGCTGGTAACTGGGAACTATCATAGTTATGGCTCTCGGAATTCCGTGGACTGAGCACCGTAACGAATGCGTAATACTTTTATGGGGATAACCCTCCCATGACTCGAAAATACATTTAATTTATAGTCTTCAGAGACGATTCCGTGAATTACAATTCCAACGTTGATCGTCTGATAAAAACTTGGATTCGTTTTGCATATTCTAATCACGGGATTATAAAATTTCGATTACTGTGTATACTGTGTATATACGCATTCATATGCAGTATTTCCAATGTCATTTTCTACAGAAGAATACCGTAGATCTTTTTAAGAAACCAAAGTAAACTCGAGTAAACTAAAGTAAGATCGAAATAAGGGAAAATAAATGTGTACTGTTAAAAGATTTATTTTAATGTCTTCAACTGTTTCAAACTTGTAACTTTTCTGTCAGTACATAATTTTTCACTACCTTTTCACTACCATTTTACAAAGTTCCCACTGAAAATGTAAAAGTGAAAACGAAATAAAATCTAAAATCTGCAAAACTATTTTTATTCATATTATATATGCATATATAGTAATTTAGATTGAATTATTTAATAAGCACTAAAGATCTAGCTTTGACTGTTAGGATCATTCTATTCCTTATTGTTTTTTATTGTTTAAAACTGAGTGGGATTTTGAAGACACCATAATTGATGCACAAAAATATAAACATTTTTACTGTTAAAATTCAATATAAATATCTGAAACATACATTGAAAATTATAATACATATATGTATAAACAAAAAGTACAAGAGCGATTAAAAAAATAATACCTAATGTGATCTTTGTTTCATACAAAATATTTGCTATGCAGCTACGCTTTAATCTCTGATCAGCATGTGTTATTTACTGGCAATCTCGTGAAATTAATTGATAACTATCTTGTCCTGATTATCATATAAACATGTATCCTATTTATTGATACCTTTATAAATTCATGTAATATAGAGAAACTCAATCTATACGCTCGATCCATCTGCTAATAATATATTCTTATCAAGTCTCTCTATCTCTTGTTTTATTCTCATACGCGGAATTAACTACTTATAACGTACGTTAAGTATGTGGCGAAATACGATAAAGCACGCGGACATTAAACGTTCATTTAATTTCCCAATATCCTTTTTTTTCTTTCGTACAACTCATATTTTACACCTAACGCGTTTTTATGGAGAATTTTTTCCGCCACGTAGCTTTGCGAGTAATTACTCATACAACGTCAGCGATAAAATCTTAATTCATCTATTCGTATCGGTAGCTATTTATCGCATTGCGTTCCCGAGAGACACGGGTCGTCGGAACCAACGGTCTTGTTATCGGCAGCATTTAATTGCCGCTGAATCGATGGTTCGTTTGTGCAATACCCGCGTCTTCGCTCATTCATTATCCGCGATAACCGATAACCGATACCGTGAGGCGCTACCACGAAAGCAGAATCATTTTCAGATCTTTCCATGAGAAACCGTATGGATTGCCAATAAAATTATATTTCGTCATAAAACAATCTTTTAATTATTTTTATCGATTACCATTTACTTTTTAGAAAGCTACTTTTTGCTTTATTGCAAGATTGATTGTATATGTGCACATACATTTGTAAAAATATAAAATAAATTATTTTGCAAATATTTAATTAGTATAATTTTCCCACTAGTTAAAAAATTGAAAAATTAAAAAGTAACATTATTTCATATTCGAATGGCAAGGATATGTTATTTGAAAATATTGAAAATAACAAAGTCACAGACTGATTATAAAATTGTAAAAAAAATTTAAGTTGATCCCATGTATAGTCAATGTATCGATTTGCCACGCCATGTATTGATTAAATAAGTATAATATATAACCACAACTAACTATGTCTATTCTCTTGTGTTGCAGAACAAGCCAATCACTTAAACCTGTTCAACAATCGCCAACAGCCGAAGAAGAAGCGCAAGAGTCGGACCGCGTTCACGAATCAGCAGATCTTCGAGCTGGAGAAAAGATTCTTGTATCAGAAGTACTTGAGCCCAGCCGACAGGGACGAGATCGCCGCTCAGCTGGGTCTGAGCAATGCCCAAGTGATCACGTGGTTCCAAAACAGGAGGGCGAAGCTCAAGAGGGATATGGAGGAGCTTAAGAAGGACGTGCAGACTGTGAATCCACTTCTGGTCGCTCAACATCACAAGACTTTCCTAGAGAACGTGCAAGATCTGGGAATCTTAAAAAAACGACCATTGCCAAATTCCATGGACGAGAAATCGTAGAGATCAACTCGAAATCGACTTTTCGACCTTCTATGTGCAATTGAGGCTCGACAAGAAACTCGGATAACGAACAATTATTCGTATAATATCAAGTGTTTTCGACCGAAATGAAAGATCGAACCGTGATACATAATTTCGTGTTACGATGTTATTATTCGGGCAAGCATGTACGGAAATTTATACGCGTCAATGACTGCATTTTGTATAATAGTCTTCTTTTTACGTATGATTCGATTCCTTGACGCATTTTAATGCGTCTTTCTTGAAAAAATTGTGAAAAATGTAATTGCGATAAAAAGCCCCTTTTATCTTCGATCAAAGATCTTGTCTGTCTAATAATCTATTACCATTCAACATTTAAGCTTACTTTTTCTCAAAACTGTAAAGCTGTTTATTGTTATTACATCCAATTTCTCAATGAGCGAATATTCTATGTACAATAATGTCCAAAAAAAGTTACAATTCTATATATTGAGGTACGATTTAAACGGACAGGAGAAAATATTACTTTCAACTTTTCAAAAGAAATTTTCGTTGTGCTTGTTAGAACTGAAAAAAAGTGATGTTCTTATGTCGTAATTACGGCTTTAAATGGAAAGCGTATCATAGTCCGCTGCAATTTTACGCGCAGAGCGCGGTGTATTATAATGTATTTATTATAAAATGAAGGAAATAAGAGGCCGTAAGAGGAGAGCCGTCGATAATAAATTATTAAATGAATATTATTCCGTAAATTATAAATAACCACGCGTTGTGGCGCGATTGTGTACATATACTGTATATAGGTATATACATCGTTTTCTTGATAATGTTACGTATAGGCATGATAGAGATCGTTATACATGATTAGAGTTAAAAGAAACAGTAAACATAGATGGGACACTGCAATATACCTGATTATGAGTTTAATTAGTGAATTTTAGGAGCGAGTAAAATGTATATCTGCATACGACGATTCGTAAAGTGATAGTGAGGTGCGTGAGACTAAAAATTAGGAGCGCGTGTGTAAACCGACTTAGTACAGTGTATAGCGAAGCTAAATAAATGGAAACATTATTGAAACTGTTTCTGTAGCAACTTTTTTAACTTTATTATATCTTTCCTTTCAATATTCCTGTAATATCCTGCAATACCATTTAATCTTGATATAAAAACCTTATGAAATTATTCATTTCATTTTTAAAAATAAGAAGTTTACATTTACAATATTAAGGATATACAACTTCTACTTAAAAAGTGACCGAAATTGAAAACTTCTACTTTCCTAAAAAAAATAAAAATGAATATTATATGTATACATACAGTTCAATAAGGTAATATTTATATTAAACAATAACATTTCATAGTTTAAATAAAAATGTTCTCATTTTTTACCTTAATTATTTTTTAAAAACATGTTTATTTTGTATTAAAATAATTTTTTATTCAGATTTTAAATTGCTATCAAACTTTTTGTATTATTTTCAAATGTAATATAATAAACACGTGTTTATTCTTGACAATATAGAAATAATTGTTTTCATTTTATTAAATGCGGTATTTTCCATCAGATCGAGGATGTAATAAAAAAAATCACATAAAATTCGTGTTATTCTTTCTCTAATCGCTTTAACGAGAAGAAATTTACATTTTATTACGCTTTGCGTAATACTGTACGTAAAAAAGGCTCGACGTGCGTCGGCGTGCAAGGAGCCGAAAGACGCAGTGCATAAAGATGAAAAGGAATTATTCTCCAAAAATAGCATGTACGTTGCGGTCCTTCTAAGAATCTTTTTGAAGCCATTCGCGAGGTTTACCCAGAGGCGTAATTTATTAAGATGAAGTCATTTCGCGGGCCTTTTCCTCGTTGTATCTGCTAGTATCCGGAGTCTGGCACTCGTCATAACCGAAAGCTTTTGCTATCGATAGATTAGAACTCGAGTGTAATACGAACCGCGATGAAAAGATGTGATATATAATTATATCTTTAATAATTTATATTTTTTCATGTAAATTCAAGTTTACATAAAACAATGTTAAAAAAGAAGCATATTGTTTGCCTGTAGACATTTACTGGATGAAATAGATTCTTTTTTAATGTGCCAATTTGATACATATGAGTCATTATTATACATATGAATCTCAAATTTAAGAGACTAACGAGAAACTTTTTAAAATCAAATCTATTTTAGAATATCCAAAAAAATAAAATAAAATTTAATTAATTACATTTTTAAAGTTTAATTCTTTATCATCGTTTTAATTATGAAGAAGAGGCGTTGGAGACCAGAAAAAATTTTATAAAAAGTGAAACATTTAACCAGTACTAGTATCAAAGAAAGAATTCCAATATAAACGTAAGCATCGTAAGCTATACACTTGCAAAAGCCGCCGGGCCCTTATTAGAAATGTTGAGAGCAGCCAAGTACACCCAAGAGGAGGCATATAATCAGCATATACTTAACGCACGTAATACACGTATATTCACATCCGTTATAAACATTCTAGATTCTAGTCGATTAATCCATTGCGATGGCAGTAGCACGCGTTTTATATCAGAGATAATGACGACAAGTTAATGATAGACTCATTAACGAGGCCTCGTATCAAATGGTTCCGTTTAGCATCAGATATTCAAGTAACAGGAAGCAGGTTGGTAATGTCGAGCTATCTGCTCGTATATCATGCATTGCGAGACTCATCGCTGATACGATTAGCTGTGCTCTATTTATGGCACTTATATATTTTATATGAAAAATCCCGCGTTTATACATAAATTCCTATCTACAAAAATTCTCAAATATCCGACACTTTAAGAAATCGACTGTTTATTGCGCTCGTTATGGTCGGCCTGATCGATACATGCGATCATCAGAAAGTAAAGGCTTTGATAATTCCAAGATTCCAAGGTATAAAAACTGTAATGTTTAAACAACAAAAGTAAGTTAAATTATTGCTCCGAAGGATGTGTAGGCGTGTAAAATGTGAAAACGAACATAGAAACACGTCTCGTTTTATAAGATTTGGTTTTACGAGTCACAAGTCGAAACGGAGTAACGAGACTTTTGTATGAACTTGAACGATTGCGAGGACGTTCGTAGCCATCGCTGATATCGATGGGTCCATATATGAAGCAGTAAGCAAGGTAGCCCATACCGCCCTGTAATTCAGACGCCGCAACATCCAAATAAAGAATTCATAATGGCGATGATGACCACCGCCAATTTTCTCGATATATCCGATATACTAATAATTCAGGTGATCTCCGATCGGAATGAGTATGCGATATCATTCATTGTCTCTCTCCCTCCTTAATTCCCTTTCGAAGCACATTAAACGCGAATTTATGAAATCACGCAATGCGCGACATTAACGAATTATCATTTAATCGCAACAATATAATCGAACTCTGTACTTATATCCTTATATGTCAGCTTTAATATAAGTTTTATAATCGCAATCTCTCGACATGGATATATATATATAGATCGTACGCAGCACAACTACCGGTATATCAAACATAATTAATTTACGATTCGTTTAATGTCACAAAATCTCCCCCACCTACCTGACGCTTAATTATTTTCGATATATTACTTCGTAATTAAATAGGATTGCAAAACGGTGCTCGTTAATGTGAATCCCGGGGACTCAGTTTATTCAATGTATAGATTGAATGCGAAATGTATGTTATTACACATCAGATTATCGAAATATTAATTTCGTGGTAATTATCGGCCAGTCGGTGGCAGGCAAAACTGCTTTCGTTTATTTAGCGAACTCCTTCGAACGAAGCCTCCATCAATCGACTCGATTAAAAACTTGTCTCTTCATTTCGTTTAATTAAATTTTGCGAGTTTCTTCTTCAGTAATTCTGCGCAAGATATTGAAAACCGACAAGTAGTAATTATTTGAGAATACTAATTCGCATCTTAAAATTTATCTGAAAAACATACATAGACATTTTAACAATATTGTTTTGTACATCATTATATTACTGTGTAGTTACGTTGTAAAACTACAGAAAAAAAGACATAAATCAACGGGTGTAAAATCATAAGGCCACATCATTTCAGTCGCCAAGACATCATTTCGGAGAGAGCGATCGTCCTTCCAGCTGTTTAAAGCTAACGACTTGTTCAGGTATCTAAAGTGACAAGACGACAGCCCATTGATGATAAATGAGGTCGTCGGATATTAGAATTTTCTACGGTATAACGCAACTGCATTTTCTAAATATATATAAACTTCTGGCAAATCAAGATTTACACTGAATGACCTCCTCGAATAAAGTCTAACCCGTCTCACGCTATGCTAATTTGTCTCTACGCGAAATGCTACATGCAATCGTCGCGCGTGTCGGCGACCCTACCGGCGTGCTACCGATCTCGCCAGGTAAGACCGTGCGAGCGCGTGCGGGAACATTATCCGTTAAGCGGCGTTGTTTTGCATAACCTCGCCAGAAGATACCTCGGAGCTCATTTTCCCGGCATTGACACGCCCACGTAATTCGGACTCATTTACTCGTTGACTCGCTTAACCCGCCAGCCAGTCATGCGTCAGTCAAGCCGGCGCGCGGAGCGCCGCAGATCCATAATTTCGATTCGAACCGTTTCAGCACGCGAGAAACGAGTCTCCCCGTTCCGCGCGGATGTAATTAGACGTGGATCTAGGCTCCAGCCCATCAGCGGGCCTCGTTAATGCGATATCTCGACTCTCGACCTCGCCACAGCGAGCCGCCCGCCGATGGCTGGATCCTAGCACGCTGGATCCTCTCACCCGCCTGCGCTTCTATTTCGCTCGTTGTTCCCTCTTCTTTTTTTTTTCGATTCCTCAAGACTCCTAGACTGACTTCTTTCACGTGGCTATTTCTACCTGCGCGGTCTTTCATCTCGTCTTCGCCAACGAGGTCCATTTACACGGCAGGAGGACTTCTTTCGGGAGGACTAGCTACGCTACGGCTCCAACTAACGAGAGCTCGTAGTCCCGACGATGGAAGATTAATATGTGGGAGTGTTTAGGCGAGAATGGGTGGGGGATCACGGGACGATATATTATTCGCGCGGTTGGAATCTTGCAAAACGTTGCCTTGGTTAGATAACAGATGATGAGTGAATATAACGAATTTTTATGATTTATGATTTTTACAGTCATAAGTGTAACGCGCATGATAATCTATAATAATATACTAGCTTGTCAAAAAGGTTCTGGATCACCTTTTGATTTTTACAAATTTATTCTGAAATAATAACTATTTCTCAAATAAAGATTATGTTCAACAATTATCCGTATCATAGTTTGCTTTTTAGCTACCGGATTTGGATTCGATATCATTTGGTTAAAATTTACTTTATTGCGTGAT